ACCTTGTGCTTCAAACCAACCTTGCAGTCCAGTTCTTTATTCTGCAGCGCCAAAACACATATATGTATACATGTATAACAACACTGAGAAATTTTTGTAAATGACTGCATGTTACTCAATTACAAATTTTACCCAGTGTTGTTATATGCCTTAGCCTTTCAAATACATTTAATAAAAGTGTAAAAAGATTTCTGTCTCTTATCTGTGTTCCACACATATACACTCACACATAAACCTAAAAGAAGTTTCATGAGCTATACAAGGTAATTCTAAATGGGTTTCTTTTTTTCAGATCATGTTATCTATATTGTAATAGATATAGCCAGAGAGTAGATACTTGAATGTAATTGTTTAATGCTGTGTGCCTTAAATAACTATCCAGTTCAGAAAGTCACTAATTCTTTAATTTTCCTTATAAATTTTGTTCTTTCCTTAGCAATCTCCTCAGAGCTCCTTTAACATCTTTGTTCCTCAGAGTATATATAAGGGGATTGAGGGTTGGAGTCACAACTGTATAAAAGAGTGTGAGAAACTTGCCCTGGCTATGGCCATAGGATCTCTGTGGTTGGATATATATGACAGAGCTGGTCCCAAAAAAGAGAGACACCACTATTAGATGGGAGCCACATGTCCCTAAGGCTTTCCGCCATGCTTGGACTGACTTAATTTTTACCACAGCTTGAACAATTAGTCCATAGGATACTAAGATCAATGCCATAGGAAGAAGGATCAGGACCAATGTGCCCACAAAGAGCTGGACTTCATTTGCATGAATGTCAACACATGCCAACTTGATCATAGCAGGAATCTCACACAAGAAGTGATGGAGATGGCGATGCCCACATCGGGGAAGGTGAAGGATGATGGTGCTCTGAATGAGAGTGTTTCCTACTCCACTCAGCCATGCTACTCCTGCTAAGGACTTGCAAAATGATGGATGCATGATAGTAATGTAATTGAGAGGCCTGCAGACGGCCACATAGCGGTCAAATGCCATGATAGTAAGGAGCACACATTCAGTGGAACCCAAAGAGAGAGACACATAGAGTTGTATGACACAGCCAGTGGCTGTGATGGTCTTGGCTGGTCCCTTCAGATTCCACAATAACTGAGGGACAACACTAGTAGTAAAGCAAAGGTCAAGAAAGGAGAGATTTGTAAGAAAGAAATACATAGGAGTGTGGAGTTTGGAGTCCAGATAGGAGAGCAGGATGATGGCTGTGTTGCCCAGAAGTGTCAGAAGATAGGATATTAAGACTACCACAAAAAGAATTACCTCCAATTGTGGCTGGTCTGAAAATCCAAGCAAAATAAAATCTCCCCCAGAAGTTTCATTGTTTTTCTCCATCAACCTGTCAAAGTAAAAAAGAAAAATGGGCATAGGAAAAGCAATAGAAGGAAATTATTTCTCATTGCTTATAAAATATGAGGTAAACTTAGATGAGGTTTTCAGGGTTTTCTTGCTGTTATTGTTTTCATTTTTTTTTAACCAGTAGCTAAAAATTAATTATTAAAAATACATTCTTAGTGCTGCCAATGCCCCAGCAGAGAAGCTGAGATCAGCATTTAATTCGAAATATTTTAAGTGAATAAAAAACTATTTCAGCAATGCAGACTAGTAAGTGTGTTGTTGTGGGCGATAGTGCAGTTGGTAAAACATGTCTCCTGATATCCTACACAACAAACAAATTTCCATCTGAATATATACCAACTGTTTTTGACAATTATGCAGTCACAATTATGATTGGTGGAGAGCCATGTACTCTTAGACTTTTTGATACTTCAGGGCAAGAGGACTATGACAGATTACAACCCTTGAGTTATCTACAAACAGATGAATTTCTAGTTTGTTTTTCAGTTGTCTCTCCTTCCTCATTTGAAAATGTGAAAGAAAAATGGATACCAGAGATAACTCACCACTGTCCAAAGACTCCTTTCCTGCTTGGTGGGACACAAATTGAACTCAGAGATGACCCCTCTTCTATTGAGAAACTTACCAAGAACAAACAGAAGCTGATCACTCCAGAGACTGCCGAAAAGCTGGCCGTTGACCTGAAGGCTGTTAAATATGTGAAGCGGTCTGCACTCACACAGAAAGGCCTAAAGAATGTATTTGATGAAGCAATATTGGCTGCCCTGGAGCCTCCAGAACCGTAGAAGAGCCAAGAGCCGCAGATGTGTGCTGCTATGAACATCTCGCCAGAGCCCTTTCTGCACAGCTGGTGTAGGCATCATACTAAAAGCAATGTTTAAATAAAACTAAAGATTAAAAATTAAAATTTATTTTTGCAATAAAGACAAATGCCCTGCACCTACCCATATGCACTCATGAGACACAAAGCTCATAGGTATGGCCCTTCCTTCCCTCTCCCAGTACTAGTTAATTTTGAGTAATTGTGTATTGTCAGAAAAGTGATCAGTACTAGTTTTTGTTTTATTGTTTCCCAAAAGAGAGGGCGGGGGGGGAATGGCAAGGCATGCTTGTTGACAGGACTCCATAACAGACAAATTCCAGTGGTTGAAGCTGCTCCCTGGTTCCACCTTGGAGAGTAATCTGCAGCATCTTTGTGTCCTGTTTTTTTATCTTTTTTGAGGGAAATGCATCGAAGTTCATTTTATTTCATCTTGTTTTTGTTTCCTAATTCATTAACCAGTGGCCAGCCCTTGAAGGGAGGAGGACGGGATTGGTTCACATTTCACTGAATGAAGTTAGAACCCATGTTCCCACCTGGTGCTCTTCGGAAGGAGTACAGTGA